TAAAAAAAACAAAAACAAGAAGGAATCCTCAATAGCCGCGGCACTTGAAATTCTTTTTGACAGGATTAGACTAAATTACTTTTTTTTCCTTTTTATTAGCAATATTTTTGTGCGCCAGCAACACCAAGCGTGGGGCGCGCGTATACCCGATTCGATTTTATTAATCATCAAGCCTACCCTCAAATTGAAAACCTTTTAGGCAGGATTAGAGTAAATTAATCTATGAGACCTTGAGCGTGGTCGAATACATCAATCGAACGGATTTGACCTCCTGAGTTCAAAACTGTAATTAGATCTCAGATGATGGAACTACGAGCTAAAAGTTTGCACTTGAAAAAAAAAAACAACAACTGAGAGCCATTCTATGAGCCGTTATGCCGTGGCTAAAAATTATACATTCCAGTTTTTCGAGCTATACATTTTTCGAATAACTCTCGTAAAACAGGAGATGTTTTTCGATAACACAAGTCTAGTTAACACTGTATTTCTGGTGTGTGGATACACAGGACGCTAAATAATCGGACAACAACTACAAAAACAAGAATATCTAATTTAATGACGGTGGTCGATTATTAAAAAAAATCATAAATCTGAATCATATTGCTACGCGTCATTTTTGTTTTAATGTTTTCTACTCATAAGGGCTAGATTTTCTTTCATGCAGAAGAGTACCTGTTTTATCAAACCCTGTATTTCAGAATAAATTATTCCAACGAATTCATAATCTTTCACATTTACAGCGTTTAAACAACGAAAATTCCAAGTAACGACTTTCGTAATAGATAAAGTTAATGAAGGTGAAGGTCACTTTCCAAAATTGTAACCATTTTGTAATTTTTTTTCACACAATCAGTGTCTCCAGCACGTTTGGCAACCATTTTGTATTTTTTCACACAATCAATGTCTCCAGCACGTTTGGCAACCATTTTGTATTTTTTTCACACAATCAATGTCTCCAGCACGTTTGGCAACCATTTTGTATTTTTTCACACAATCAATGTCTCCAGCACGTTTGGCAACCATTTTGTAGTTGTAACACTGATGTTTGCATATATTTAGAAGTATTATATTAACCTATATTACTGTATGCCTTTTTTATCTTTATCGTTTTCTTAGATAACTTTGCGCTCAGTTTTTGTGTAAGTTAAATGTACTCAGGTTTTCTTAACGCGTATATCTCAGCCAGGTAAACGCGATAATTAACTCTTTACTTATTACATTCTAATATAGAATTCGATACTATAATAGCTTAGCCGAAGATAAGGCTTAAGTAGATTTGTGTTTTAGTAGTGGACCACTACCGCTAACATGCTAGTGGACCACTACTGCTAACATGCTAGTGGACCACTACCGCTAACATGCTAGTGGACCACTACCGCTAACATGCTAGTGGACCACTACTGCTAACATGCTAGTGGACCACTACTGCTAACATGCTAGTGGACCACTACCGCTAACATGCTAGTGGACCACTACCGCTAACATGCTAGTGGACCACTACCGCTAACATGCTAGTGGACCACTACCGCTAACATGCTTCTCTTTCCTAGTTGTTCGAATATTATCTAGTGCGTGTACGCGCTTACACATTTCTGTGTTCCTGGCGAACAATACGTTTCTTTCGGAAATTCGCACAAAACTACACTAGGGTTAACTGAACCAGCTATACCTAATTTGAGTTAATAGACCAAAAGGAATGTAGCTAGTCAACAGTACCCACCGACAATTCTTAAGCTACTTTAATCAAATAATAGTGTTTGACCGTCGCGTCGCTCTTTTGCAGCAAAAAGAAGCGAACCGTGGACCTTCACATACACAATTCTGTACAACAAGTATCGAACGCTGGGTCGCTCGCATTGAAAACATGTGTTCTACCAACTGAGCTAAAGTATTAACCCCTGGCAGTTCTTCAGTAAAGCACTTCTTAATAACTCCAATTATCATAGGTGAAGTCTTGTTTCAGGAAATATCACAGATTTAAAACTAATGGAGATTCAGTCCATTATAAACTAGGACCAATCAAACAACTGTAAATACATTAAGTATGTTTACAATGTATTCAGTGCATTTCCGCCCACGCTATATTTTCACTTCTTGAATGAGACATGAAAATATTTCACAGTTTTTCCTAACAATCCCTCTCTTTAAGTATAACCTACTTGCTGAAGTACCTGTTCAAGGCACGGGTTTGGTGACAATCGGTCGAGCGATTTGCCAGTTGTAAGCGGACACAGACTTTTGTCAAGTAATGGTTTAGAAGTGTTTTTTACATAACCAGGTATATGAAATCATTCTAATCATGGCAATGCCCAAGTAAG